GGAGAAGCAGGCTCCCCACTGAGCAGGGAGCCCGATGCGGGGCTCGATCCCAGGACCCTGGGATCATGACCTGAGCCAAAGGCAGACGCTTAACCAACCGAACCACCCAGGCGCCCCTCTTTGTTTTATTCTTGTTCATTTCTTGTAAGGGTTTAATTTTTAAAAATTACTTCAAAGAACCAACTTTTGGCTTTGTTAATATTTTCTTTTTTTCTGTTTTCAGTTTCATTGATTTCTGCTTTTCCGTTCTTCTACTCTGGGTTTAATTTATAACTTTTTGCGACAGAAGCTTAAGTCACTGATTATAAACCTTTCTAAGAAGTTTTCAAATACATGCATTGAGAACTATAAATTTTCCTCATGACTGCTCTGTTTGCATCATGCCATTTCCTGCATATTGTTTTGTTTCATTCACTTCAGATATTTTCCAATTCCCTTTATTTAGAATTGTGCTTAATCTCCAAATATTTGAGGACTTTCTATTAGTCTTTTGTCATTAATTTCAGATTTCATTTCTTTGGGTACAGATGGTATGCTCTGTAGGATTTCAATACTTGAAATTTATTGAGATGTGTTATACTCTTTTCTTAATGTTCTGAATACACTTTAAAAGAGTGTGCATTCAGCAGTTGGATATGTTTCCATAAATATCAGTCAGGCTGAGTGGATTAAATAGTGTTTATATTCTTACTAACCATTTTTGTCTTCTTGCTGTGTTAATTATGGAGAGAAATTTGTTGAAATCTACAACTGTGATTGTCTATTTCTCCTTTCACTTTTGTTAATTTTTGCTTAATGAATTTTGAAATTTTGTTAGATATACATGTTTCGTATTAAGTCTTTTTGTCAAATTGACTGTCTTATTTTTATGTATTGTCTGTCTTTATCCCTGGTAACACTCCCTGTCTTAGACTTTACTTTTGGCACAATATATCTTTTTTCCAGTCCCTTTGCTTTTGATGTTTCTGTGTCCTTATATTTCAGTGTCTCTTATAAACAAGACATAGCTGTGTCTTGGTGGTTTATTCTTTAATCCAGGCTGACAATCTGCCTTTAAATTAGAGGATTTAGTCTATTTACATTTAGTATAATTACTAATATGATTGAGTCTAACTCCACCATCTTGATATTTATTTTTTGTTGATACCGTTTCATCTTTGTTCCTTTGCTTTTCCTTTCCTGGTTCCTTTTTTTTTTTTTTTTTTGCTACAAGGTAGATCTCTTTGTATTCGTGGATATTTTACAGTGTGCCATCCACTGTGGTAGCCACTAGCCACATGTAGTTAAGTTGAAAATTCAGTCTCTCATTATATCAGCCACACTCTGGATGCCCAGTAGCCACACATGCTTGTTACCACATTGGAAAGGAGAGATTACTGCAGGAAGTTCCAGATTGAGGTCAGGATTTATTTTGAGTCAGAATTACCCAGGGTCCAATGTGAAAAGGGCAACATTCTAGTCAGAAGATGTGTGTTCATGTTGTGTGTTTACTACTGATGGGCTTTGTGTCCATAGGCCTACGAGATCCTGCTCTTAGCCTCAGTTTTCTTTTCTAAAACACACGGATAGGAATTCCTGCTCTTCTGCTTCACGGAGTGCTTGTGGAAAAGAACACTACAAAATGGTTAACAGTTTTCAAGAAAACATTAAAACTCAGTTGACTGTGTTTCTGTGTTTTGTTTGGTCTTTTAGGTTGCTGACGGAGCTGGAGTCCCCTTCTTGGTGGCCCTTTAGCTCCAAGCTTTGGAAGATGCCAGCAGAAACAAAGCCCAAGGGGGGCACCTCAACGGCTAGTCCCAAAGCTCTTGGGAAAGAAGGGGTAGTGGTCCGAATTCCTGCTGTTATCTCCCAGGGGACAGCATCTCATGTTAAAGCAGGAAGTCTTACCATTCTTGTGTCCGGGTTGGAAATCCGTGATTCGAGTTCTTTGCTCATGCACAGATTTGAAAGAGAAGATATAGATGACATTAAGGTTCACACACCTTATGAAATCAGCGTCCGCCAACGGTTCATCGGGAAACCAGACATAGCTTATCGCCTGATATCCGCCAAGATGCCCGAGGCTGTCCCCATTTTGGAGGTGCAGTTCAGCAAGAAGATGGAGTTGTTAGAAGGCGGCTTGACGCCCGGAAGTGCCAGCGTGTCTTCCCCAGCAGAGAAGGGCTGCTCTGTCTGGCAGGCGGGTAAGTGCGTGTCGGTCTCCAGGGCCGCGGCCTGTGGTACACCGTTCACGTGCTGCGTCACTGAGAGCATCTGCTGGTTCTGTGCACCGGTGCAGACTGTCCGTTTGTTTGTAAATGAGAACACTTCAGACCGTTTTCCTCAGTACCTGCCACCTCAGACAGCCTGAGTCCCGGAGCGCGGGTGTATCACACACTGGAGGGCTGTGTGGGTTTCCCCTGAGCTCAGCAAGGCTTGGTGGCCCTTTCAGAACAGAGGGAGGCTCCACGTTAGGCGATTCCCCCTTTCCTCTGTGTGACTCAGGGCACTACCTGCCCACCCTGGTGGGTGTCCAGTCCCACCGCCCCTGACCTTGGCGTCAGTCTGGGTCATCCCAGCCCGCCTTCCAGGGACATGTTTAGGAATCAGAATCTCTGAAAGCTGCAGCATAGTTTTTGTGGGTTTGCAGGCCTCCACTGGCGGTGAGGCGTGCTGTCCTCCTGAGTGTCTCTGGGGAGCACAGAGCTGGGCATGGCCCTGGGGGTCGCAGGAGTCCCAGGTCCCAGCCCCGGCCTCGCCGACAGCAGCCTGGGGTCATCTGACTTCTCAGATTTGCCCTCCTGATGCTGTCAGGTGGCATCTTGCTGGTGTCTTTATTTTCATGTCTAATTGATTGTGACGTGGAGCATCTGATGCTCCTTATTTGCTTTTGGCCTTCACACGTTTCTCTGTGGATTGCCTGTTCTGTGGTGTTTTTTTTTCTTCTTCTACTGTGCTGTTTGTTTATTCCATGTTGTAGGTATGCATCCCTTGTTGGCTTTAGAAGCTACCACCTCTGCCAGACTGTCATTCTCCATTACAGAAATCCTTAATTGGGCAAATTCCCCTTAAGTTTGTTTCTGCACCCATCTTAAGAAATCCCAAAGTCATAAAATACCTTATTTTCCCATAGGTGATCTTACGTCTGTGTTACTGTGATTTTTCTAACAGGCTAGTAGTCATTCCTTGTTGACTTTGATTGCTGGATGTCTGTTACAGTAAGAGATATGTTTGCTTCTTTTTACTCTGAAGTGATTGATTTCAGTGCTAATATGTAACCTGGTTCCCTAACACATGAATATTTTGATGTTATTCTACATGGCTTCTCGTTTCAAAAGAAATTTACCCGAAAATAGATCTGTCCCATAAGCACCAAAATTTTGGAAGTGTTAATTTAAACAGGTAATTTGGCATTTCCAGATTTTTCTTTGGCCCTTCGCAAGGCAGGACTGGGAAGCCCGTAAAGGGGCCAAGGAGGGTGGGCAGTACCCACGAGCCCAAGACCCTGATGAGGGAGGCCTCAGGCTAGGCCGTCAGTGCCCCCACCCTGCGGTTTTCCCCTGGGGGGGTGGGGCTGGGCAGTGAGGGGACCCGGGGCTGGCAGGCCCGACGCAGAGTGCCTTCAGCCATTGATTCTGCCAGCGCTGATGGAGAACTCCCTGTGCCAGGCACGGTGCCGGGCCTCCACAGTCCGTGTTCTCATGGAGCTCCACCACATTCGTGGGTTTTCTGTGTACCTGGTGGTTTTGGAGAGAGTGTCGCGTGCCAGGTGGCAGATACCAGCACACGCCATACAGGGGAGAAGAGGCTTGCTGGGCCTGCTCTGACCCCGAGTGTCCAGGTGCAGACAGGGCTGGAGAGGAGCAGGAAGTGTGTGCCAGGGCCTCTGCGGCCGTGGTCCAGCGACAGGAAGCTAGGTGAGTCCGGATTCCGCAGGGCCTGCCATCAGGAAGGGCACAGGCCAAGGCTGCTGACCACAGGCCACACGTCTTCCTCCTCAGGGAAGCCTCACGTAAAGTCAGCTGGTGCTGGGCCTTCGCCACATCCACAGACACCTTCCCAGCAGCACCTAGATTCAGGGTGTGTGGCCTCGCCTGTCAGTCACAGACGGTGTGTGTGTGGAAGGAGTGGGACCACATCCACGATGACAGATGGGTGTTCATCCTGGTGCTCACTTCAGCCTCTGGGGTGGAGGGGTTCCCACAGCGTGTCTGCATCTGCATGGAGCAAGAGGTGCTGTGCTCCCTCGGTGAGGCCACCCTGCCCTGGGAGTGGATGAGGGTGCAGGTGGTGAGGAGGGGAGCCGGGGGGAGGCCAGCACGTGGGCTTGGGAGCAGAACAGCAGGATGGCGTCTGGCTTGCTGGGGACTCGCGGGAGGCCTGGGCGGGCCCTCTCTGTCACCTCTGCTGTTGTTTACAGCACCTGTGTTTTCCCTGTCCCACGGTGGAAAATGCAGAAGCGGTGGGGGTGGAAACCATGACTTGACATCTCAGAAATTCACCCTCTCCTCCAGAAGCCATGTTGGTAGGCTGCGTGGCCAGCAGGTGGCAGTGTCGCCACAGGACCGGGTTTGCCTCGCGTCAGTGTGGGGAAGAACTTTCCAGAGACCTCCGCAGTCCTGTGCCGTGTAGGTGGCCCGGCCAGCGACTGGCCCCGGGGGTCTCCTGGGCTTCGGGGGCTGGGAATGACACAGGTGGGCCGCATCCACCCTGGGGAAAGCAGTGGAAAATGGCTGTTTTCTTGCACAGCATCTTTAGGGTACTGTTTACATCTTAGTGTGGTTTCAGACTTGAGGAAGAGCTGGGAGGAGTGTCCCCCATGGCTGCCATCCTCACTGTCACAGCTGACGAGCCTGTCTGAGCTCTGTCCAGATCTCCTCGTGCTTGCTGTTCCAGGACCCCATCTGGAGTCCCACATGACGGGTGGTGTCTCCCTGGGCTCTCCTTACTCTGAAGGTCTTGACGGCTTGTAGGAGGAGTGCTGAGGTTTTGTACACTGTCTCGCGATTGCACTCTGTCTCATGTTGTCTCATGGTCCTGGGGTGATGGGTTTTAGGAAGAAGACTTCAGGGGCGCCTGGGTGGCTCAGTCGTTAAGCGTCTGCCTTCGGCTCAGGTCGTGATTCCAGGGTCCTGGGATCGAGCCCCACATCGGGCTCCCTGCTCCACGGGGAACCTGCTTCTCCCTCTCCCACTCCCCCTGCTTGTGTTCCTGCTCTCGCTGTCTCTCTCTCGTCAAATAAATGAATAAAATCTTTAAAAAAAAAAAAAAAAAGGAAGAAGACTTCAGAGCATGGCCCATGCTTAGCAATTTATGGTATTTTGGCTACTTGTTTTTGTCTTTGTTGTTTGTCAACGGCCACCTTTGAGAGAAGCCTTCTCTGACCAACTCATTTAAGAGACAACACTCGCCCTCGGGTGCTGTTGGCTGCCATGCTCTCACACTGGGACCGCGTCCAGACCGGCCCCAACTTGTCTCTTGATGACCACATCTCCAGCACCCAGAACAGGCCCAGGCATCCAGGAGCACACACATCTGCCTGACAGTAGTACACATCTGGGACCCTGACGTCCCTGTGCAGGACTGCTCATTTAAGACTTGGGCTTCAGGCGGGGGAGTTCCCATCCCGGGACGCAGAAACCACGCTGACCACAGACAGACCCCCCACCTGTGTGGTCACTAGGACGTGGACACCACGCTGACCA